GCATGCTGATATTCGTTTCTCCTTTGAGACCTTAAGCCTGTAACTCTAAACATCTCTCCCCGACAGTGGATCTCTTGACCCCAATAGGACTTTCTTCTTCTGAGCCATTGTGCAGAAAATAGATCAAGACGCAGAGAGTGTCCTTGTTTAGGGCAAGAGAAATCAAACCTTTATTGGAGAAAGTCTGTGTAGAAATAGGAAGTTCCAGATGGCCACGCTACCCAACATGCGTGAGAATAATAGGAAGTGTGTCACCCTGGAAGTGTCAATCTAAATAAAGAGGAGGCAGATCAGACAAGAGGCAAATGGAAACACCTTTAGGGGGCTTGTGCTATCTCTCCAAACAGTTAGTGGCCCCTCTTCATGGGTCCTTCATGCAGAGCTTCTCATGGCCCACTTCCAAAGACAATAATAGCAGTCAATTATTCTGGACCCATGCCCTCTGGAGCTCCAGAAAGGAAGCTCGCTCCGTCTTCCACGCCACAGTGTTTGAAGATGGCTATCCCACTGCCTTTTAGGGCATGACGAGATGATGGGCAAATGGTTCTGAGCTGGATTGGGCTGGATCGTGCTGAACGGGGGCACTTTGAGGGGTGGTGTGTCCTTTGAGGTGATCCGTGCACCCACAATGCAAGGTTCAGGTGTTTTCAGGACAGGAAACAACACTGTCCGTCATGTGATCCTGTCGGACAGTTCCTTTCTTTAAAGGGAAAGAAAAGCAGAAAAAAGTAACACAAAAGGAGAGAAAGTGATTGCCCCTTCCTTGTCTCTTCCACAGGGGAGTGGGAGGAAGCTGTCAGTTTTTTTAAAAAAATCATTTCTAAGTGGCATAGCGCTTTACTGGTTTGCTGAACAACCTGTTCAGTGCTAAAAGCACTCTTTAAAAAAAAAACCCTCAACAACAACCAACCCTCTGCATCCTCTCTCTCCCCCCCCCTTCACAGGGCAGTGGGAGGAAGTTTTCAATATCACACCAGATGATGGGCAAATGGTTCCGAGCTGGATTGGGCTGGATCGTGCTGAACGGGGGCACTTTGAGGGGTGGTGTGTCCTTTGAGGTGATCCGTGCACCCACAATGCAAGGTTCAGGTGTTTTCAGGACAGGAAACAACACTGTCCGTCATGTGATCCTGTCGGACAGTTCCTTTCTTTAAAGGGAAAGAAAAGCAGAAAAAAGTAACACAAAAGGAGAGAAAGTGATTGCCCCTTCCTTGTCTCTTCCACAGGGGGCACTTTGAGGGGTGGTGTGTCCTTTGAGGTGATCCGTGCACCCACAATGCAAGGTTCAGGTGTTTTCAGGACAGGAAACAACACTGTCCGTCATGTGATCCTGTCGGACAGTTCCTTTCTTTAAAGGGAAAGAAAAGCAGAAAAAAGTAACACAAAAGGAGAGAAAGTGATTGCCCCTTCCTTGTCTCTTCCACAGGGGAGTGGGAGGAAGCTGTCAGTTTTTTTAAAAAAATCATTTCTAAGTGGCATAGCGCTTTACTGGTTTGCTGAACAACCTGTTCAGTGCTAAAAGCACACTTTCAAAAAATAAAATTAAAAAACCAACCCTCTGCATCATCTTTCCCCCCTCTTCCATTGGGCAGTGGGAGGAAGTTTTCAATATCACAAAGTGACTCGAGCAAAAAGACCCCTTAAGCCATCCTCTTTGGTTCAATCCCAGCCGTCACACAGGCTGGAACCAGAGTGAAGGGGAGCCATCCACACCCAGGAAAGCAGCCCCTGAGAGGTTCTGAAAATAAAAAAACTGAATCGCCTAGACGTCATGTGCTTGCTCGGAAAAAGAGAAAACCAGACTGTCCACAGACTGGACCAAACTGGAGGACAAATTCCCATCTGATTGTACATTTCGTAATCTCTTCTTTTGCTGAGGTCCAACATACCCAGTTCCCTCAACGATTCCTCACAGGGCTTGGTTTCTAGATACTTACAACCCAGCTTGCCAGCTGACTCTCGTGTAAACACATTCCAACTTGTTGATATCCTTCTTAAACTGGGGCATACAAACCTGTCCAGCTACCGTATTCCCGGGAAGGTCTGATGAAAGCAGAATAGGATGGTGCTCTCGCTTCCCTTGATCTGGATGCTATGCTTCTGCTTATACAATCCAGGGTCCCATTTAGCTTTTAAGTTTGCTGCTGCCTCAGACTGTCGACTCATGTTGAGTGTGTGTTTTGACGCGTTCGGGGCCAGTGAACGCTTAGGCGTTCCAAGTGCAAAAATCAAAACATTTCAAAAATACAATTTGTGTATTTTGTTTCCCCTAAATTGCTTTTTGTTTCCAAAGGAAAGCAAAATTAAAACGCATCGTCCCCACAAAGCAGTAAATGGCAGGTTCCTTTCTCACAAATGTCTGTGGTGTGCAGCTATTGCAATGTCACAGCATGCTTTGCATGATTGCTCTCGTTTTGTATGGATTCTGCAAAATATATGAATGAAAGAGAGGGAGGGAGGGAGGAATTCTAAATCACAGAGAAGAGAGGAAGAAATCAGAGTGCAGTCTCACAAACACACAGCAGAGCTGCTTGGACACCACGATTTAATCAATGCCCACGTGCCCTCCTGGGGCATTCCCTACACGGTGGGGGAAGGCAGCAGAAAACCCTGGCCAATGGCGCCGAGAGCAGATCAGCGCTCAACGATCCAAACCATGTCGGTTCATTAAAAGAGATCAAGGCAAGGATGCTGAGTGAGGTGCATCTTTGTGAAAGAGAGGAAGTCTCCGAAAACCCCCAAATCTGGAGAGATGTTGAGGAAGAAAGGAATTACCAAGCCCTCTCCCCATATCTCAAATTTTAATCTTTGTTTCTTTTTCTCTTGATCCAATCCAGGCCCTTTGTTAAACTCAAAGAGAACGGCAGGCCAAACATCTCCCGATCCTCCTCCAGCACCAGTAGCTTCAGCAGCACAGCCGGAGAAAGTGAGAACCTGGAAGAGTACGAGAGTGCGGTGAGGCCGCTTTCTCTTCCGGGTCTTGATGGGCTGGAGGGGCGGCCAAAGGTCGGCCTGGGGAAAGGTTTTGGGTCAGCCCCAAGGGAGGCCCCGCCTGGCAAAGGCTCCCATCTCTCTCTCGTGGGTCTCCTCCAGCATTCGATCCTGGCGCTTTACATGGTTCTTCCAGATGAGGAGGAAGAGGGCAAAGGAAAGGAGGCCCGCCAGATTGGCTACAACCCTACTAGGGGAAAGTGGCCACAGAACACCATGCTTTTTGCCATTCCCCGGGTTTTGGTTTCATCATGGTTCGTGGGACCAAGGATGTCTCTAGAGAATGACCGGGAATGTGATAGGCAAGGAAAAAAAAATAAAGTCTCCTATTCTTTTTAGGGTTACTATCTGACTGGCTGGGATAGTTGCACCTCTCAAAACTCAAAGGTTTAGGTCTCTGGCTGTAAAGCCAGGGGTTGGGAATTTGAATCCCTCCCGTGTGCCTCCTGGGAGTAGAGCCAGCCTGGGTATCCTTGGGTCAACTGCACAGTCCCAAGGATTGCCCCACAGAAGAAGGGAAGGGGAAGCCACTTCTGAGACAGTCCCAAGGATTTCCCCACAGAAGAAGGGAAGGGGAAACCACTTCTGAGTATTCTCTACCTGGAAAACCCAGAAAAGGGTCACCATAAGTCTAAATTGACTTTATAACACAAGATGATGATGATGATGTGAGTCTGGTTTGAATTAAAACAAAGTATAGACTTGCAGGTGGTGCTTCCAATAAAATCGGGCCTTCTTTTTGCAACCAACGAAAAGAGTTCAGCTGTATCCAGAGGCCATTTGGGCTCAGAAAGGGTCCAGAGTCAGCCAGTGCAGTGCATGGGGGACAGGAGGTCAGATTCAGGAGACCTGGGTTCGAATCTCTGCTCAGCCATGGAAATTCACGGTTTGCAGAGGGTGTGCGGCCATGCTCAACCAGTGCCTGGGCATCCCACATATCTCCAAAACCTTACCGGGATGACCAGGAATCAGACGTGACTTGACAGCACACAATAACAACAACAACAATGGAGAGGGGCCCTGGCATTAAGGGGGTGAGCAATTTAAGTTAAATCCTGTTGATTTCAGGGGTCAGCTATAAAGGTGGCCAAATTTGGCTCTACCTCTTGACAAAGAGAACCTGGTTCATAAGAGGGCAGCGGAGACGTTTCGGAAAACAGGTCCTCTGAGAAAATGCTAGAGACGTCAAAAATCTCTGTCTTGTTTTGTCGCTCTTGTTGAGATTGTATAGTCCTTTTCTAAGGCCCACCAGCATTTTATTTCCGTCCTTATTCCACATTGAACTGCAAGGTTTCCCCTTTCCTTTATGTGGAGACATTTCTGCACATTCGAAGGGCCTTTTTCTTAATCTCAATTCTGTCTTAAGGTGACCCTTTTCAGGATCTTTCAGGTAGACCGTGCATGTATTTGCACCAATTTTTTAAAAACATGCTTGGGAATATTTGTTTCCCACTTGTATATATTTTTCTCCGGGCCACACTTTAAAATGTGTATATTGCTTTGTGTACATTCCATTCCTCCAAACAATGATTTTCTTTGTTGATTTGCACACGTGTTATTTCTCCATGAGCCTTGAGAATGTGTGAATTCTCAAGGTGAAGTGTGTGTTCTTTTTCTCACTGTGAGTTTGGAGTGGTGCAAAAAAAAAAAATACTTTTGAGAAGTCTGTTGAATCCAGTTCTGGATTCCTCGCAAAAGTTGAAGGAGTTCTGTAGGTTTAGGCTGGACCTGGGCGACTGAGGATGAGGGAATAGGATGGGGGAACACAGTAGCTCTTTCCTAAATTTGGAAGAGCTACTGTCTCACAGGTGAGGAATTATCTTTATTTCTTGCTGTTAATACTATGGATGGGATTTTCAGATTTCCTGGACTACAAACACCAGCGTTCTGCATCCTGAGAGTTCTGCCTGTCTTGCAGGCACTTTTCAGAAACTTCAGTGTGGCTCACCTGGGAAAAAGGCCTGGGTTGGGAGGCTTTGAGGCCTAGCTAGGCCTAGCTTCCTGCTCAGAAAGAAAACTCCCAGCTAGCACTGGGGCAGGAACAGGAAGCTCAGGCAGAGCTAGGCCGAACTCGGCATCAAAGCCTAACGATTTAGGCCTTTTCTCCCAGGTGAGCCACACTGAGGTGTTTGTAAGGTTGTCTGCAAGGATTAAGAATTATGGTGTTTATAGTCTAGAAAATCCAAGAATCCACCTCAGGTCCTCTTACAGAGGAAAATGTAGCAGAAGTATTTTAAACAAATACATCAATGCATACATAGTTCTCTCCTTGTTGTTCTGGGACCAGAAGAGACACCTCTCTCTCTCTCTCTCTCTCTCCTCCCACAGGCAAGCCAGCCCTCCACAGCCTCCCCCTACAAGCAGGACGTCTTTATCTACAGCCCGTCCCAAAGCAACGAGAATCCCGTTTTAGCCTCAGCTTCCACTCCCGTGATCATGAGCAGGAGTCCCACCGGTGAGTTGGCGGCTTCGACGAGTTCTCAACCAGGAAATACATTTGGGGAGAAGGTTGCCTCACAATCTGACAACGCCGTCAGCCCCCTGAAGTTGCCGTTGTTTCGTCTGAGCCACGCAATTTAAGCCAGAACCATAGAAACACAAAGGCCTTATTCTGGGAGTACGGAGCTTGAGATGGGCGTGAACTGAACCACGAGCACAGAAAAGTCGACAGATCGAACCGGTTTGTGGTTCGTTTTGCGAACTAATTCGGGGATCCTGTTTTGTTGAAACGAAACGGAGCGGCAAACTATTCTCCCCTCGCAGCTTCACTTTGTTTGGCAAAAGGGGTGCCTGCCTGCCCCCTTCCTACTGCTCCCCTACGTGGTCCTGACGCCTCTGCCTTTGCCACACCACCCTCGTCATATCCAGCGGGCGGGCTTCCGGGAGCCACACCTGCCGCCTCTGTGCATGTGCCTGCAGCCCAGTTGATCCAGGCACATGCACAGTGGCAGGCGCAAGCGCAGAAGGCAGCAACCGGCTTCCCTTCTGCAGAAATCCACTGGGGATGTGTGGTGAGGGCAAGCCACTCCTGAAAGACGTGATATATACCGTGACAACTTTGTTGAGGTTGCCATAAGCTGGAAACAACTTGACGGACCAACAGCATGTGTGGGTGGGTGCATTTTGCTAGACGTCCATGTGATGGAAAGAACAAATTCTCAAGAGATTAAGATCCATAGCTCTGCAGGAATCAATTTAAATTCCTCCCCCGAAATGCTCTAAAACTAATCTTGATGCATTTCCTTCTTCCAACAGATATAAAGAGCAGGAATTCGCCACGGTCAAATCTAAAATTCCGATTCGATAAACTGAGCCATGCAAGTTCAGGACCGGTGAGAACTCTTTCTCCACTTTTTTTTAAAAGAATCTGAATATGCTTTTTTTTTTTTACTTCACATGTTTCTCATGTCCTCCTTTGGGCCCATCATGAGAAGGCAGGGTTCTTAGGAAAAGACAATAAAGCTGGGAAAGGACAACAGGAAAAGAGGAAGACCGAATACGAGACGGACTGACTCCCTCAAGGAAGCCACGACATTTGAGTTTGCAAAATCTGAGCTGTTGAGACCTGGCCTTTGGGAGAGGGTGATGTCCCCCATTCCTGGTTCTAGAAAGGGGCACATGAAGCCCACCAGCACCCCTGCCCACAAGGAAGCGGCATTTGGGGAGTCCAATTTCAGAGACGCTGGGAGTCCACTCCGGGTTTTAATCTGCACTTTGCTGAAGTGATCCCAGGTGCTGTGTTTGTTGGGGGGGCAGGGTTGAGTACCTTGGCCATCTTCTGTAAAGGGCAGAGTCTAAAATCCTGAGTGGATTCACAGGACCTTGCAAATGGAAGTCCAGCACCTCTATTGCCACGAGATTTGGGCAGCCTCTTAGGGACATATTTTGGAGGGTGTCAGGATGACTCCCCCCAAGGCCTTAGTCAGGATGTCTTCTTATTCCCCGGAAGAATATATGCAACTCTTTTGCACTAAACTGGAATATAAACCCCATCCCACTCTGGCTAACAGGGTGTCACTTGGGAACATCGCCCGAAATAGAGACGGGGCAAACAGCATAATCTCCTGCTCCAGCTCCTTTGAGAGGTGGGTGGGAGCCCCCAAGCGAGAAATAAAAGGAGAAGGACATGTCATACCCACCAGAGAAAAATTAAAGATTCCGCTTTCCAAACAAAATTCCTGAAATCCCCAAGAAGGCTGTAAGGCACTGCTATTCATTTTTTGATCCCTCACCAGCAGGTGCACTTCTAGAATATGGTGCTTCCTAAATTTTGGGACTGGGAGCCTTTCCATTCCAAAAATCCCAACCTTGGCCAGGAGTTTGATTCCTCCCCACCCCCAGCATTTCCCAGGAGAAGAGCCAGCCTGCGTAGCCCTGTGCAAGCTGCCCAGACCCACGATAACCCCAAAAGAAGGGGAAACGAAACCACTTCTTGGTAATCTATAGCTGGGGATCCTTGAAAAAGACCGCCGTTAATCCATCGGTGGCACAGAATTATTTAAGAAAGTTTGGCAAAGCCCTGCTTGCTCCACCCTGTGAATGTTATCGCGGGTGGCGTGGTGATCCTCCGTCCTCTGTGCCACGCACTCAAGGTGGGTTGCCCTAAGAGAGCAGCTCAGGGATCTCCCCATAGAAGACTTTTCTGTGTTTAAGATCCTCACAAAAAGGCTCTCCTTTCGGTCCTGTCGGCCAGCCCAGGCCCAGCGGATGGGGACCCGAGACAGAGCCTTCTCGGGGGCAGCTCCCAGGGTATGAGGGGCTCTCCCCCGGGGCGGGGGAGATAAGGAGGGGGCCCCTCCCTTTTCTCTTTCCACCGATTGCTGGAGACCCACCTCTCCAGGCAGGCTTTTAACAAGCAGGATGTGTTACATACAGCACTGATGTTACCTGTCTGTCATGGGTTTGGAGGGAAAGTTCCATCCTATGGGGAGTGGAAGGCGGGACATCAGGAGGAGGGGCTGTACTGTATTCAATTTATAAGGCGACATAAATAAAAGAAATAAATAAATAATAAGGTCCTGGAACAACAAAAAGGACTTCAGGCGTGCTCTCGGGGCTGGCTTTTAAGGGAAGTTAGGATGTGGACAAACATGCTGCTGACTGGGGGATTCTGGGAGTTGTGATACAAAAGTTGTAAACGTATCCAAACTCTGGCCAATCGTCCCTTCATGCGGTCGGTCTATTCGCCTTCTGCCCATAGAGGCCGGCCGTATTGGACGATCCAGATGGTTGTTCAGCATCAGCTCTTGCATTCTCTTCTCTTCAGACATGAAGGATGGGGAAGATGGGATTTGTAGTATCCCAGTAAAGACATGACTTTGTTCAGCACTTGTAACCATTTCTGAGCAGCTTGACCTTTCTTCTGCCCTTTCCACATACATCCATGTAGGTCTATTTGCAAACTGCCACCCAGAGCCCTAACACAGGCAGGAAAAAGCTTGCCCAGAACAACTTGAAGGTCTTTGGAGGGATGAAGGAAATCTTTACCCCAAACAGCTAGAGGACACTAGGTTAGGAGTCTGCTGGACAGCTCAGGGGTTCAGGTCTCTGGAGCTGTGGAACCAGAGGTTGGGAGTTCAATTCCCCCCACAGGGCCTCCTTGATTGGGGCTGGACTAGATGACCCATAGGGTCCCTTCCAGCTCTGCCGTTTTAAGGTTGTTACTGTTGTTGCTGGATGTTTTTCTGATCAGGCATGTCTGATGTGAAATAATCTGTTTCCTTTCCTTTTCCCACAGACCCACTAGCTGAAGGAAAGGGCTGTGAATCCATAAAAGGTGAGTGTCTCTGGCTTGGGCCTCACGGGATGTGGTCTGTGTCTGACGTGCTTTCCTGTACAATTATAGACAAGAGAGACGAGGAAAAGGAGAGAGGAGGGTGATGGTGAAGGGGTGCCAGCTTTCTGTGCAGAAGGGAAAGCTTGTGAGCTGGACAAGGATGGGAAACCTGGTTGGTTGGTTTGAGGTCCCAAGATCCCCTGGGTGGCCATGAGGGCTGGGGGATTCTGGGAGATGTCATCCAGACAGAGGAAGATGGGATGTGGTCTGTGTCTGACGTTGTGCTTTCCTGTACAATTATAGAGAAGAGAGACGAGGAAAAGGAGAGAGGAGGGTGATGGTGAAGAGGTGCCAGCTTTCTGTGCAGAAGGGAAAGCTTGTGAGCTGGACAAGGATGGGAAACCTGGTTGGTTGGTTTGAGGTCCCAAGATCCCCTGGGTGGCCATGAGGGCTGGGGGATTCTGGGAGATGTCATCCAGACAGAGGAAGAAGAGGTGGCGCTGGTGGCCTTTCGGACGCTGAAGGATGGACGGGTGAATCTGATCAGTGAGGGAAGAAGGAAGGAAGTGCTTGGTCTCAGCGAACCAAAATGGACTGAAGCAGGATATTTTCTGTCAGAGAACTACAAAGTGTTCTACTCAGAAGAAACTCAAAAGAATTTGAGTGGTTCCAATACTGAATCAAGATGTAGCACAGGCACTTAGATCTTATAATGTAAGATCTGACTGCATAATATCCATCAGACTCCATGGAAAACTTCTCAGTATAACCATCATTCAAGTCTGTGCTTCAACTACAGATGCTGGAGAGGATGAAATCAAAAGCTTTAATGCAAGCATCTGAGAGGAAATTGATCACATTTCAAAACAAGACATGCTTATAATCAGAGGTGACTGGAACGCAAAAGTAGAAAACAACGCAGAACCAAATGTTCTTGGAAAATTGTAACAGGGGACAGAGATGAAGCAGGAGAATGACTCATAGAGTCTGTGAAGGCAGCAGTCAGTTTATTGCAAATAGATACTACAAATAACCAAATGGAGTGCTGGACATGTGGACATCACCATGTGGTCAATATGGAAATCAAACAGACTACACAGATGGGAGCAAGAGAGAGAGAGAGAGAAGCCATAGTCTCTCTGCCAAAACAAAAGGAGAAGATTATGGCACTGATCACAAACTGCTGATATTCAACATTAGAGTAAAGCTGAAAAAGTGCAGAACCAAATGTTCTTGGAAAATTTGTAAAAGGGGACAGAGATGAGGCAGGAGAATGACTCCTAGAGGTCTGTGAAGGCAGCAGTCAGTTTATTGCAAAAACATACTTCAAGCAACCAAATGGAGTGCTGGACATGTGGACATCACCATGTGGTCAATATGGAAATCAAACAGACTACACAGATGGAAGCAGGAGAGAGAGAGAGAGAGAGAAGCCATATTCTCTCTGCCAAATCAAAAGGAGAAGATTATGGCACTCATCACAAACTGCTAATATTCAACATTAAAGCTGAAAAAGAACAATAAAAGAACCATAGTACCAAAATATAATTTAACCAACATTCTTGATGAATTTAAAGTCCACATGAGGAACAGATTTGCATGACCAAACTCAGTTGGCCAGGAACCAGAGGAACTGTGGATTGAAACCAGAGATATTTAGGGAAGAATGAAAAAATACAATACCTGTAGTTAATAAGAAAAGAAAAATCTAGATGGATGATGGAGGAAAGACTTAAAATTGTAAAGGACAGGAAAAAGCAAAAGTAAAAGGTGACAGAAATAGGGTCAGAACCTCAAATGTTCAGCACCTCTCAATGAAGAGTCAAAGAGAACTGTTATAATGATCAATGGCCTCTGGACTGGAAATGTTCAAAATATATTCCAGTCCCCAAGAAAGGGGATGCTGAGGAGTGCAGGAACTTGAGGACCATTGCTTTCATTTCCCATGCAGGCGAAGTGATGCTTAAGGTGTTACAACAAAGGCTTTTACCTTAGATGGAGCGAGAAATGCCTGGTGTTCAAGCTGGATTCCAAAAAGGAAGAGGCACTTGAGATCATATTGCAAATATCTGAGCGCACCAAAGAATTTCAGAAGATCATCCATGTATGATTTATGGGCTACAGCAAAGCCTCTGACTGCGTGGATCAAGAGAAACTATGGCTTGTTCTCAAAAAATGGACTTGATTGTACTTAGGTATAACCTGTATTGGTGGACAAGAAGCTACCACTAAGACAGAATATGGAGAGACAGAGTGGTCTTCTCTAGGCAAAGGGGTCAGATAAGGGTGCATTTCATCATCATCACTGTCGTCATCATAGACCTGCAGCGCTGGAAGGGACCCTGTGAGATCATCGAGTCCAGCCCCTGTCCAGGAAGCGACCCAGTGGGAGAACCGAACCCCCAACCTCTGGCTCCTGAGCAAGAGACCCACTACGGGGAGGAGGCACTGAATGCTTCTGGTGCCCCTTATGCCAAGAAGCACTTCCGAAAAGGTAGAGGCACTTGAGATCATATTGCAAATACCTGAGTGCACCAAAGAATTTCAGAAAAAGATTATCCATGTATGATTTATGGGCTACAGCAAAGCCTCTGACTGCGTGGATCAAGAGAAACTATGGCTTGTTCTCAAAAAATGGACTTGATTGTACTTAGGTATAACCTGTATTGGTGGACAAGAAGCTACCACTAAGACAGAATATGGAGAGACAGAGTGGTCTTCTCTAGGCAAAGGGGTCAGATAAGGGTGCATTTCATCATCATCATCACTGTTGTCGTCATTTTAGAACTTCAGCGCTGGAAGGGCCCCTGTGAGATCATCGGGTCCAGCCCCTGTCCAGGAAGCCCAGTGGGGGAATCGAACTCCCAACTTCTGGCTCCACAGCCGGAGACCTCAATCCCTGAGCCATCCATCTGTACTTTTATTACCTTATCTGTTCAATCTGTACACAGAACATATCATACAGAAAGCCTGACTAGATTCAGATGAAGGAGGAGTGAAAACTGGTGGAAGAAACATCAAGATGTGCAGATGACATCCTTTTATGGGCAGAAAGAAAGCAGCAAGGGCTTGAAACCGTTTTATGTGAAAGTGAAAGAAGAAAGTACCAAAGCAGGACTGCAGTTGAATGTTAAGAAGGCAAAAAAAAAACCCATCACTACAGAAGAACTACACAACCTTGATGCTGACAATGAAGAAATTGAAATAAAGATGTGGAGTACCCTGGTTCAATCCTCATTCCGAAAGGTTGACGGCAGCCAAGAAATCAGAAGGAGACCGGGATGAGGAAGGGCAGCCATGAAGGGATTAGAAACGATCATCAAGTGTCAGGATGTGTCCCTGGAGATCAAGATCATCCACACTCTTTTATTTCCAGTAACCATAGGTGGATGTGAAAACTGGACAGGGAAGAAACCTGACAGGAAAAAGAATAGATTCATTTGAAAAGGGGTGCTGGATTAGAGCTTTCCAGATAACCCTGGAACTGCCGGAAAGATAGATAAGTGGGTCCTAGATCAAATCAAGCCTGAATTATTTCTGGAGGTAAAACATGTGGAAGCTGAGGTTCTCCTACTTTGGGCACCTCCTGAGAAGTCAGGATTCCCTGGGAAAGACATGGATGCTTGGAAAGGTGGAAGGTAGCAGGAAAAGAGGAGGCCCAATGGGAGATGGACTCATACATTAGAGGTGATAGGATGCTAGAACAAGCCATAATAGGAGAGTGACTGGTTGTAATAGGCTGAAGCACTTTTTTTCTTTGTGATATGCCCAAAGTTTGATTCTGTGCAGATGTGTGATTTAAATGCAGGTTTTAAAAAGAGAGAAATTGCATATTGGTGCATGTGAATGGAGGAGCAAAGGAGGGGAAAAATTGAAGAGAGAACTTGTTGAGGGAGAGCGAAGGTGATGAATGGGAGATGGCCGGGAAGGGAGATCTGCGGGGCTGCCTCCTGAACAGGAAGGCGCTCCTTCTGTTTTATCTGAAGTAACCGTCCCAATTAATTTAAAACTTAGAAATAGTCCTGAAAGAAGATAGAAGCAAGGGGAGGTGGTGAGATGACTGGCCAAAAAATAAAAAAATACAAAAAAATAAAAAACAGGGTGGTCTTCTACTGCCTGAAACGACAGAGAATCCGTAAAATTCAGAGCAGGAAAAAAATATGGATCGGGCAGGGTTTTAAACCGCAGAAGGGTTTTCCCTTCCTGCTGTAGGCCAGCCGTTGCTGTAGATTCAATTGAAATGTTTCTGACAGTGTGGTCACAGCCTTAGCCACACAGCGGCGGCAAACACCCTCCTCAGACTTCCAAGCAAGATGGCGGTCACACCAGCAAAAGGTTTCCGAGATTCACTTCTCGTGAATTTCGACCCGTTCTGGGAAGTTCAGGCGATGCATGGCCGTTGCAGAAAGGTGTCCCAGCATATTAAAAAAATAACCGAATGAAATCAGCTTAGGGTTGGTAAAATGAGAGGTAGTAACAAAAAAAGTGGAATTGAGAGGCTCAGAAGGCAGGTCAAGGAAAGGCCTAATGGACTGTTCTTTTTTTGTCTTCTTTGTCTTTTTCAGGGCATCTATGTTTCATTTTGTTCTCTTCTGTTTCATTTGGTTTCATGAGGGGAAAATGGTATCCCCTCCCCGGAACCCTTGCGTCTCTCTGCTACACCTGGAGAGCATAACCGACGGTGTTTGGGTCCTCCCGTCGACAAGCCGCGAGAATCCACTTCATCCACGTTGGCCCCAAGCCCAACTGGGAGAGGGGGACAAACAGACCACCACCCTCGTGTGGTTCCCTGACTTTGTGAAGTTGCTGAGGGACAGGACTGGCAACCCCACCCCCACCCCAACCGCGCTAACTCCGCTTTGCAAATGGTGTTTTCCTCCCTGGCGGGATGAGGACATGGGGGGCATACCCCGAAGCCTCCTGAGCGTCTCTACCCGCACACCACAAACGTCGGAGGTGGCTCTCTCGGATCTTCGAACCAGGGACCGTCCTCACAGCCACGCGCCTAAATCCGTGCTTCACCCGAGCCGACGTCACCATCCGGCTGTGAAAGAAGCCTTCTTCCCGCAGCCACGTTGTGTTGAGCCACGGAAGAGGGGCCAGGCCTCGAGTCACGCGGGTTGGTGTGGATTCCCCCCCCCCGGTTCCAGGTTCCGCGCCTCTCAACCCAAAGGTCACCTTGGAGGGATCCACCACAGGACCGAGAACCGCCTTCCCCTCCCTTTCCCACGTGGTCTTTGAACGCTTGCTTAGACTCTTGCACCTTGCGTATGAAATGGTCGCTTTGGGGCAGAGATTCATGAACTGCTCTTCTTTGGGGCTCATTTGGGACTCCAGAAAGCTGTATTTGGTTTTTAAAAAAGGAAATAAGAAAACGAGGAATAACCCTTAGCTATCCTGTAGGCTGGTTTCTTGCCCCTCGGGGTTCAGACCTCCTAGATCTGAGCTGAGCCCCTTTTTTCTCTTACATGCGAACAGGAAGGGAATGATCTTGAGGGCTACCTTCCCAAGAGGTGGAGAAGGGCAGACGTGGGCAAGGAGAGCTCAGGGCTAGTCCGTACGTCTCAATTGGAGCAGACCGAATTGGACTAAAAAGGCTCGCTTACAACCGGGTAGAGGGCTGGTATCTCTTAAGGGAGCCTGTCTCCATTAAGAAAACAACAGCAACAGCAACAAACAGATAAATAAACAAGCCCCCCTCCTTGCTCCCTCCTCTCTTCTCCTCTCCTTCTTGGTGGATGTTTCCAATTTTTAATTTTTGTTCTTCTTGGTGATGTAGAGCACTGGTTCTTAACCTTGGGTTACTCAGGAGTTTTGGACTGCAACTCCCAGAAGCCTTCACCACCAAATGTGCTGGCTGGGGTTTCTGGGAGTTGCAGTTCAAAAACATCCGAGTAACAAAGGTTAAGAACCACTGATGTAGAGCATCAGTGCTGCCTTAGTAGATTATATATATAATCTACTAAGGCAGCATATATATAAAGCCCTTTTGCTTCCTTTCTCTGCCCACACAGGAAGTGTTGAATTTCCCAATCTCGTGAAGTGGCTCAGCTGTCTTGTTATGCCATTTAATGAGATTAGGAAATTGAAAGCAGAAACAAAATGTGAAGATGCAGGCTTTGCTTTGGTTTGACTCCAGTGATTGCTGGAAACGAAGCAAAATGCAGCAAATCTACCCGTGCATCATGAAACCGCCACCCCTAACAGGGACCCAGAATGCTGTGAGTAGGGACCCTCTGGGGATGAGCAGGTTCGCTCTAGCAATTCTGTTGTCTGATCACTGGGAAAAGGAGAGAACCAGCCCATCCCTGCTCACCAGATCACACCCAGACTTGCATATTTAAGTTGTGTATGTGTTTTAAATGTAGTGGGCAAAGCAGCTAATGTTACTTTGAAACTCAGTGATTGCAGTGTGGCCACAGCGACTTAAGCTGATAAGTTCTACCTGCTCCATGTACAAAACAGACTCTACTGGACTGAGGCCCCAAATCTGCTCTGCCCACCATCCTGTTCAGCCCTCCCCAGAATGACCCCAGGACTGTCAATGGGCCCCAAGCCCAGTCAAATGACTTGGAAGCTGTCTTATATGGAGACATTGATTTACCTAGGCGGGTCCTGGCAGCTCTGAAGGGCCAGAGCCCCAGGCCAGGATGTCAAGAGACAGAGAGAGAGAGAGAGACAGAGAGAGAGAGAGACAGAGAGAGACTGAACAGCACTTCATAGTGAGAAGCTTCAACCACCATGAGAGGGAATGCTTAAAGAGGGTGGTTGACTCTCTCTCTCTCTCTCTCTCTCTGGTTAAAAACCCCCTTGGGGTTTTTAACAGGCTGCTTTAGCTATAGACTGCCTTCTCCATCAGTGTAGTTATCGCTGCTGATTTTATTCTCACCACCGAGAGAGAAAGTTTTCAAATGTTTTCTCTCTGCTGAGTGAGATTGTGTGAGGTTTTCTGGGACCTCTCTTCCCCTTCCAAAAGAAAGAAAAGAAAGAAATTGAATGGCAGCAGAGAATTCTAAGGGCCTCACCAAAGTACAGGATTCTGCAGGACAGACCACGTCACCGTTCGGTTACTGCTCTTCCGAGCTTAATGGCCACACTCCACTTTCTTGATTGTCTGAAGCTGCAGGTTTGAATGCCTGTCTTCCATTAGGATTCTGCCAGTAACTAGAAAATGGTGGTGATGGAATGACTGATAACAGATTCTGCCCTCCTCATCAAAGACTTGAAAGGCTGTCCTTCAGAGAAGGGGCAGGATCTGTTATCGATCCTCCCAGAATGCAGGACACACAACAATGGGCTCAAGTTACAGGAAGCCAGATTTCGGTGGAATATCAGGAAAAACCTCCTAACTGTTAGAGCAGTACAACAACGGAAACACTTACTTCAGGAGGTGATAAGTGCAATATGAGGGACTTTCTCTCTCACTTACTCACACTCTCTCACTCACATGGACAGGAGGAAAAAGGTGAATTCCCACCTCTGGAAACCTTCAGAAGCAACCCTTCACCCTGTGGTCTTTAACACCCCAGAACAGCCATTTTTCAGAATCAGAAGTCGACCTTGGAAGGGTCCAAGTTTTGGTTTTGTTGTTTATGAATTTCGTGGCCATTGAAATCCTTCCTTCCTTCCTTGTTTTTTGTTTTGTTTTTTGACTTAACGTTTGCAGTTAGGACATAAAAGACACCCTCAGATGCTGAGAAAGGATTGTGACTCACTGCCTCGCTGAGTGCGATCTCCCCTCAGAGCAACTCATCTGTCCCTGGAGGAACCACTCCAGCCCCCCCCCCCCAAAAAAA